AATGGATCATAGACACCAATGCAAAATAGAAAGCTATAAAACTCCTGAATAATAACAGGAGAAAGCCTTGGGTTTGGTTATCACTTTGAGTGTGTGGGTGTGTGTTTCCAAATTTGACTGTTGGAGAAAAAAAAAGAAACATGGATCCAAGAAGAAATATATTATTGGAAAGTTAAAATACAAGATAACTTGGAACATTTTGTAATGCCAGAAAGTAATGAAATGCTGAGAGAGAAAAAAGATGGCAAGGGCATGCCAAAATGTGTCAGCATAAAGGTGCTCTCCAGGGCCAAGATGGGATAATTTGAGCAAGGAAATAAATAATGATGGTATTGACTCTCACTCCATAGATGAAAATAATGAGCACATACTAATATAAATAATTATTTGAATAAATAAATACAAAGAAAAGCTCTTACCTACAGTACAATTTAAATTCTTAATGTTGAAGGCAAGAAATAAAAAACAATAGTAATAATTGTTGCAGTGAGCAGAAGTACAAGGAGAATTTGACAAAAATGGAACACTTGCATGGTTTCAAAGTAACTCCCCCCAAGGTATGTACTAATTTCAACAAGAAAAATAGTAATTTTTCAGTGGGGATACCTGGCAGACACCACCCTATCAAGTGATCAAGGTGAACATCAGTAGTAACAATCTATTGATATTATGGTCTGTTACGAAGCGAGTTCCCCAAGAGATGAACCACCGGAGCCAATTTGATTAAGAATGCAAGAGTTTATTACAGATTTTAATCCGGGCTTAAACCTTGGCTGACGCAGCAGCCAGCAAACACCCAGGTGAGAAACTCGATGGAGGGGCAGTCCCTCCTCTTATACCTCTTTTTCCCCTCCCATCCCACTGTTGGTCTGTCACTCCCTGATTGGCCCCTCAGGACAAAGAACTGGCCATCTTTAGCTGTTCCTTAGGTGGTTTACACAACCTGGCCTGTTTTGCCTCAAGCAGAATGTCTGTTCTGACTCCAAACAGGAGTGCAGGATGCTGCGGTTTTGATGACGCCAATCTCCTAGCCAGATCTAGAGGGAGGTCTGCATATCTTACTACAAAGGAATTCCAGGCACTGAGTTACAACTGACTTTATTTTTTTTAAACTTTTCCCCCCTGGTCTGGTCTGTCTCCAGAGTCCTTATCTCTTGGGCAGAGGAGGCCAACTGTCACATGGTCCATTGATCTATTTGCCTGAGAGAGACCACTGTCACTTCTGTGATAGTCTTGCCCAAAACGCATACCCAAAATCTGGTCATGAGAAAACACCAGAGAAACCCAACTGAGGAACATTCTAGAAACACCTGAGCAGTGCTCTTCAAAAAGTTTGAAGGTCACAAAAAGCAAAGAAAGACTAAGGAGCAATGTGGCATCCTGGATTGGATCGTGGACCAGAAAAAAAGACATGCGTAGGAAAACTGCTGACACTCCAAGAAGGACTTCAGATGCATTATTAGTGTCCATTTGCTGGTTCCTATCAGGTGCCAGAGCTACATGTGGGATGTAAACAATTGGGGAAGCTGGAACTCCCGGGGAATACAGGAATGTGCCACTGCAACTTTCCTGTAAATGTAAGTGTTTCAAAATAAGGTGATGTGTTTTTTAAAAAGAGAGAAATTAGTAATTTTTCCTCATACATAAAATAGGAAATAATAGAAAAATTTCAGCCATAATCCTGAGATGGAAAAGAACCACTGCCAAAAGGCTGAGTCTTTTAAGAATGAATGATGTTTAAAAATTGTTTCTGAACACCGACAATGCTGAAAGCACTTTTTGTCTGAGAACATCCATCCTATGTAAAATTGAACCCACCTTCACCCATTGCCCAAAACCAATTCCAGCATGTAATAATTACAAGAGTTCCATCAAAAGGTTGATGGGACTTGGGAGGCTCAACAAGGGCTGAGCAACATATATAGTTTTACCTGTTGGACCAGCTAAACGGCACTTCCCCCAAACCTGAATAGGATTGCTTGCTGCCAGACAGCTCAGAGTATCTGAAATCTGCAAATTATTGCCTCCTTTGGCCAAACACATGAACAGCTGTAGCCTATTCCCCAAACTGACAATACTTCTGTACCTTACCCTTTGAAACCTTACCCTTTGTAAGTCTCCACCTTGCCTTAGGACATTGTGTTAATAAATACCATGGGGTCCTTAGATAAGGTGTAGTCTTCAGTTCCTTTAGCTGAAGCTCCTCTGATCCCCAATTGTAGAGGGCCCCCTGGGACCACATGGATATTCTTTACATTGATGTCAGCTAGTAGGAGGTGATTGGCATGGCAGATTCCTGGTATTGACTCTCACTCCATAGATGAAAAAGACTCCCAAATGGCGGGATTCTTATCAACACTGACTTCTTTTCTTTATCCTTGTGCTGGGAATGAGGGAATGAATAGGACCTGGGCACACCCAAAATGCCTTTGATCCTAAGCTTTTCAGGGAAACCCCCCTTTATTCTTTTGGAAGTAAATAAATGTGCTGCGTGGCTCTGTCGTGGTCTGTCTCTCCAGCAGAAAAGGGCAGCAGCCTACCTGGAACCCAGCTTTGAATCCATTTCTGTGTCAGCTCTCTTTATTTCATATATTTCTCAATCCCAGGCCGCCTCTACCAAGAACCTATTTCATCTCTCTTCTGGCGCTGGACTCAGGCCCCCACACCCAATGCCTTTCAAAATTATCTTAGAATTTTTTGGACTCCTTTTTAATCATCTATGCATCAGCTCCTTTCTCCAGAATGCTGAACCCTTCATAATGTTGGGACAAGAATCCCAGCACCCACTCTCTCTTGCCACTCCTTCTCCATCTCTATTGCTTCTGTTCATTACATTATCCCCAACCGAACAGACTGGCTATATAATTTAATTTTGTGTGTTTTGTTTATTCTTTGTCCTTCTCCACTAAAAAGGCAAACCTTGAATACAGGTGTTTGTTTTGTCCACTGGTGTATTCCAAGTGCTTAGATTAGTCCTTGGGTGAAGGATGCTGTCAAGAGACCAAATCATGGACTTTGAATTCTTGTGGAGGAAACCCTGAAAGGTTGTGACAAGAGCGGCCAGGTGGACTGCCAGCAGAGTCTGAGAGTGCTGTGGCCTGGATGCAGTGCCAGGGCCCCCCAGGATTGGGGCTGTCGGGAGGCAGTTTACCTATTGTAGACATGACCATATTGCAAAACAGCAGTACTCCACAAAAGACGAAGGTCTATCCTAGCCCTGGACTTAGGTTAAAGCAAACAGCTTTGAGAGTGAAAATCCCAGGTGGACAGAGTTGCCCAGAGGGTGATGGGTCTGCTAGGCACAATCCTACCAACTGAGTGGCTTAAATGGCGGGATGTGTTGCTTCATCATTCTTGAGGCCAGAAGTCTGAGATCAAGGTGCAGACATGGCCGGTTCCTCTGAGAGCCCAGAGAGAGAATCTGATCCATCCTCTCCCCTCGCTGCCAAGGTTTCCCACCACCTTCAGCCTTCTTAGCTTATAGAAGTATGGCCGATCTCAGCCTCCATCCTCACATGGTGTCCTGGCTGTGTGTGTCTGAGCCCAAATCTCCCCTATTTGTAAAGACACCAGTACTAGTGAACTTTGCCTAATAACTTCACCTTAACCAATCACATCTTCAAAGGCCCTGTTTTCCAATAAGATTACCCTCCGAGATACTGGAAGTTAGGGCTTCCACATAGGACTTGGCCAGGGGGGCTCAGTGCACCCTCACACAGGTCTAGCATTTGCACTAAATTGCATCTCCAAGGTGAACGCTGCCTCGAAGGCTGTTAGCACAGTCGAGGCTCTGCTGCAGTCACCAGCAACCTCAGTGACCAGTGACTGAAAACAACACATCCTTCTCCCTCAGTCCCAGGAGGGTCTGTGGGTCTCCCCCGGGTAGGTTTTCTCCTGCCCTGACTCAGGGATCCAACCTGCTGCCTCCTCTGGTCCCAGCACGAGGGATCGGGAAAGGTCGTACCACTGCTCAAATGCTCTAACCGGAACCAGGCCAGGTGGAGTGTTTATGAGCACTGGCCTCTGCCATGCTGGCCAGTTGTCAGGGAGTGTTTACCGAAGGCCCATGCCTTGGAGCCAATAAAGAAGATATTTGCTTTAGGAATTAAAGCAATACATACTGCCTGTTTAAGCCACACTTGTCCCTGACAGTTGAAGAAGAAAGAACAATAGACCTGGGAAGCAGTCACGGAGCAGGTGAGGACTGGGATATGGTGGAGGCAGCGCTTTAGGGTGAACTCCAGGGCAGGCTCTGGCTTTTTCCAGGAGGGGAGGAGAGGAGAAAAAGGAGAAGGAGGAGGAGGAGGAGGAGGAGGAGCAAGAGGAGAAGGTAGAGGCTCTGGCCCAAATCAATAGGAAGGGACCATCTGCTTCACTGCACCCCTTTCTCTGCTGGGGCCCCGGGTGGTGGGGGTGGGGAAGGAGGGGAGCAAGACAAGTCCTCATCCCTCCACCCCCACCCCCCACAGAAGCTCACATGGATCCTGGCATTTATAGAGATTGGTGAATGAATGATTTGATGGAATGAATAAATAACAATAAATGCCCCCCCTTTTTAAATGCCCCCATTATTATGCCAAATGCCACATTCAGTTGAAGAAAGGAGCAATTCTCCCGGGCAATGAGCCACAGACTGCAGCAGGGACGCCCCTGCCCTCCACTGACCGGATTCCAGGGAGGCAACTGGTGCTCACACCCAGCACCAGTTACAGGAATGAGGCCCATGGGGAAGATTACAAAGTATTCTACAATTTGTTTACAATTTGGCATCCGCTAGCAGCAAGTAAGGTTTTTCCATCCTCAGCTCTGTCCTGCTTACGAAAGAGGGGAAGAAAAGGGGATCGCCCAGGGCTATAGGCATGCCAAACTTCAAGTCCACTCCTGGAGGCACTCCCACCCTGTTTGCATACCCAACTCCCATCCTTCCCAAGGGGGCAGCTATTTAAGGGGAGCTGGAGTTCAGAGTACACAAGACCAGCACTTGGAGCTATCAACGCCAGGCGTTCCCTGAGAGGTAACACCCCAAAATTCAGGCCCTGTCAAAGGTATGTGTCCTGCTCAGTGGCTGCCTTTAAGAGTGGCAGTGCTGTGTATATGTGTCCATGGGTATTTATGCATGTGTATATTGATTACGTGAACATACACTCATGCACATGATTTTGGGGGATGTGCACAAATATGCTGTGTGATTGTATGAAAGGTCTGCATTAGCAGGTAAGCCCAGGAGTGTGTATATGCATGCATATGTGTATGACTGTATCTGCATTTGCGCATGTGTATATGTGTAAGGGGTTGGAAAGTCTTGCAAGGAGAAGGTGCTATGCTTTAGTTTTTTGGGGGGAAATTAGAGACTGGACTTTATAAATGTAAGTCCCAAGCCCTGGATCCGGTTGGAACAAGTAAGCTATGTCTATTGGGCGGTGGGGAGAGGTGCACAACCTATGATCTTGGGAATCTCAGAGTTGGTTGGGATGACCTGGTTGCAACCTCCAGGAACTCTCAATCAGATGGGGAGCATGGACATCTCCTGAGCATAACTTGTGGGGTTCTCCTTGGGTTTGAGGCCTGCATGTGTGTGAAAACAGTCAAACAGAGCTGGCAAGGGTCGGGAGGCCCTGTGTGCATACTCCTTGTGTGCTCATATGTGAGAAGGTAGTCATCCTGGATCGAGGGGCAGGTGTGTGAGTTCCCTTGAAGGTTCCTTTCTCCAGGGCTGCTGAGCAGGGGCCAGGGCAGAAGCTGGGACCACCTGGGAGAGGAGTCTAGGCCAATCCATCTGCATTTCTCACGCAGGGAACTGTCACCATGAAGACCCTTCTGATGTTGGCATTGGCCATGGCCTTTGGTAAGAGCAAACCCTGACATCTGGCCACAAGGGGGCAGCCCAAGATGAAAGCAGCCCTAGACCCAGCTTCCCTTCTCATTTCCACAGGCCCTCTCTCTCAGTGGGTGGGAGAGAGGCCCTAGTGGGAGGGCAAGGAGCAGGGAGGGACAGAGAAGGAGGACACAGGGCCCCCGGCCCCATCACCAGGCGATGTCCTTCCAGGCCCGCTGCAGACCCATGAGGACTTGCTGGATTTCCAGAAAATGATCGAGATTGCCACAGGAAAGAATGCTTTCTTAGATTATGCCTTCTATGGTTGCTACTGTGGTTTAGGTGGCCAAGGATCCCCCATGGATGCAACGGATCGGTGAGGCCATCCCAGCCCTCCCCTCCCTCCACCCACTCGTGGCCCCTACAGGGCTAGGAGCTGCCATGGCAGAGTTGGTGCCCAACGTCATAGACCCCAGAAGGTCCCAGCTGGAAAAGCAGCCAGCATGTTGGAAACTCTGCTCTAGACAATTGCAAGATCATTGGGTCTCTGACCAGGGCCTTGGGGCCAGACCACGGGAGACCAGGCTCCCTGGAGCTGTGGGGAAGCTGCCCCAATCACCTCTCCTCCCCCAGGTGCTGTGCTGCACATGACTGTTGCTACAGACGCCTGATCAGAAATGTGGCACCAAGTTTCTGAAGTACAACTTTGATTACCGAAAGGGCCAAATCGTCTGTGGTAAGGATGTCCTACAACTTCACCCTGTCTCCTTGGTCTCTCTTATTGAGTGTCCGCTGTGTCAGGCACTGAGCTGAGCACCAGAGATAGAAATACAAAGGAATGCCCTGGCCCGTTTGGCTCAGTAGGTAGAGCACCAGCTGTGGGTTCAATTCCAGCAGCACCTACCTCTGTTCCAGGCTGGATCGCAATCCCCCAGTTGGGTGTGTACATGAGGCAACCAAACAGTGTGTTTCTTTCACATTGATGTCTTTCTCTCTTTGTGTCTCTCCCCTTCCCTTCCACTCTCTCTAAATATCAATGGGAAAATATCCTCAGGTGAGGATTAACAAAATAAATAAATAAATAAACCCAGAGAGGAAGAAATACAAAGGGACAGTGTCCCTGCCTCTGGGAGCTTGTGGGTGAGTGGGAAGTAAAGAAAAGGAAAACACTAGATGGGAGACTCCAATAGGAAGTTAGCCAAAGGGCAGGGCCCTGAGCACAGGCTGTGGTCCAGGAAGGCTCCTGACCTCCAAGCTGAGTCTTTAAGGCTGTGCTGGCACCAGGGGAGAGGAGGGCTGGGGGTCTTCCCACAGCAGGGTCAAAGGGCTCCAAGGGAGCTGGAACCTTTCTGTGAGCCTGAAGGAGAGATGAGGCTGAAGGGACAGGGAGGGGCCAGGCCAAGCCCAAGGCCATGCTGTATTTAGATTTTGTCCTGGAGCAGTAGGGAGCTTTTGAGCAAAGGAGTGGCATGAACCGGTTCACCTCAGACCAATAGAACTTGGGGGCAGGTCAGCCGTGAGAAGACCATTGCCATTGGACATATGACAATGGTAGTCTTGATGGGAAGGGCGGAGAGTGACCTATCAGGTGGAATCAGCAGAGCTTGGTGATTGACTGGGTAGAGGGATAGGGAGCTGTTGGGTGGGTGTACGGTCCCTTGGGTGGAACAGGAGGTGGTCCAGGTGGATGAAGGGAGGAGGAGTTCTATGTAGACACGTTTAAGAGGCTTCCAGAACACCCAGGGAGCCGTGAAGCAGGTGGCTGGATGTAGGGATGGTCAGCTCCAGGGAAGGGTCTGGATGGGCCACGGGTTCAGGAGTCACAGCAGAGAGCTGAGAGTGGGATATGCTCACCGATTTGATGTCTAAAGGCCCGGAAAGACGAGATGAGGGTTTGTCAGAGAGGGAGAGGAGAGCTGAGAGAGAAAGTCAAGGAGTGGACAGCAGCCACTTAAAAGCAAGTCTCCAGGATAAGGGCTGACAAGGCTCCTCGGATTTAGAGGCAGGAAGACAACTGAGGACCTCACTGGGCTGTTGCCATGGAGTGTGAGGGCAAATCCAGATGGTGTCTGGCGCAGCAGGACATGAAGCCAAGACATCCGGAGCATGTTTGGCTCTGAAGGGGAGGAGAGAGCTGGGTGGTCAATGAAAGGGTTTGCCCAGTGCCCCCAGACAGCAGACCCGCTGGTGAGATTTTGAGAAAGTATTGCCTCTCCACAACTCTTTAAGATCAGAAATGATGTCTCCCTGTCATGACCTCTCCATAGGGCCATGTATTTTAGGCTTTGGGTTGTGAGAAGTGACATGCCCAACTCCAAGAGGCTTGGATAATGGGGAAGTCTGACTGGTCTGGCAGAGGGCAGTGCCAGGGTGGGGCAGCTTCTCAACCGTGTGGTCAGGGAGCCAGCCTTTTCCCTACCTTCTGCTCCCCGACCTTGGCACTGCCCTCTGCCAGACCAGTCAAATGCCAAGATGCCTGGTGCCACTCCAACATCATGGCCTTTCCCTATAGATGAGGCTTTCCCCCTTGGGCATCTCTATCTGGGGGAGGAAATTAGTCCTTCCCACAGCCCCCAGGAGACACTTCCCCTGGGGCTCATTGGCCAGAACAAGGTCACGTGCTCCCAGAGACCAATCACTGAAAGGAAAAGGGGACGAGCATGACTGCTTTACACCAATCACAAGCCATTCCTAGGCCCTAGGGGCTGTGGCTTAGCACCTGGACACAGCTGTTGGGAAGAAGAAAGAGACAATGGCTGTCAGGAGGAGTCTCCCAGTGCTGGGGGCTGTGTCCCCATCAGACTGGGTGCTCGCTTCCGAGGACAGGAGCTCTGTCTTCCCATCAGACATACCCGGATCCTAGGTGCTTGCCTCGGACTAGGCGCCTCTGGAGGACAGGGGCGGTGTCTCCCACAGGCGCCATCAGGTATTACCAAACCCTCAGCCAGTTCTATTTTCTTGTGATTTCAGCAACGCAGGATTCCTGTAGCAGCCAGCTGTGTGAATGTGATAAAGCAGCTGCCACCTGTTTTGCGAGTAACCTGAAAACCTACAAGAAACAGTACCAGTTCTATTCCAACAAGCATTGCAGTGGGAGGGACCACCGGTGCTGAGGATCCCGCACCCTGGAAGCCTCGCTGCCCACACGGAGTTTCCCTCTCTGCCCCCCCTCCCCCCGCTAGTTCTCAGAAACGAAGGAAACACCCCTCTACCAAGGAGCCCCTCGAACCCAGAGAGAAGCCTTCCTTCCAGAATGGGAAGCGCCAGGCCTGTGGCCTGAGCCTTTCCCCTCTTCCTTGGGGGCAGGAGGTGTCCCCATCCCCACTGTCCTCCGTGTCCCGCTTCCTGCTTAGCGTGGCGGCCACACGCCCAGGTTTCTTCCAAATAAAGCAATTAGTTCATTGGCAAACTGTGTGTGTGTGTGTGTGTGTGTGTGTGTGTAGTGTGTGTGCGCGCACACGTGTGTGTGCATGTGTTCTTGTGTGTGTGTATCTGTGAGTATGTATGTGTGTGTGCGTGTGTCTGCATGCCTTGTGTGAGAATCTGTATGTGTGTGTGTGTGTGTATGGGTGACTATGTGAGTGTGTGTGTGTGTGTGTGTGAGTGTATGAGTGTGTGTGCGAATGTGTGTGAGTGTTTTGTGTGAATGTGTGCATGTGAGTGTGGATGTGAATGTGTGTATGTGTGAGTATGTGTGCATATGTGTGAGTGGGTGTATGCGTGTGCGTGTGTCTGCCTGCCTTGTATGTGTGTGAGAATCTGTATGGGAGTGTGAGTGTGTGCGTGTGTGTATGTGTGTGTGTGTGTGAGAGAGAGAAAGAGAGAGAGAGAGAGAGAGAGAGAGAGAATTGGTGTGTGTGTGCGCACACGTATGTGTGCATGTGTGTGTGTGTGTGTGTGTGTGTGTGTGCGCGCCTGCCGTGGTGTGGGAACAAACTGGTACAGGCAATGTAGTGTCGGGGTTATAAACACAGACTCAGGTCAGACGGGCTGAGTCAGATCCGCCAGCACCACGTCCCTGAGCCTTTCCCCCTCGTCTCACTGGCAACCGCTTTGGGCCATTGGAGAAGTGAGAGCGGTGCCAGCGCCGGTGAAGCCGGCTGTGGCTGCTCCTTCCCAGGGCCAGAGCCGCTCCTGCTGGCCTCCTGGGGGAACAGCATTCACGTCTCCACGCACCATATTCCCCTGCGATTGCCAGCCGGGGAGGCGGACAGGGATTGCTGGCCAGCAATGGACCCAGGGCATTACCCCCTCACTGGGCGGCTTCCCGGGCTGCGAGTCCCGCAGGCCCTGTCCAGAAGGGTATTGCACCTCGTTGCATGCTGTGTCCCGGCCATCTGGACATTCAGCATAACCTAGGGCCGTGCTTTTTATTCTGCACTGAGACCATAAATGGCGGAGTGGCTTGGGACTGGCCCTCCTGTCACCCAGGTTCCGCTGGGATAGTCCCACCCGGGCCATCACCATCAGGGCAGCTGGCGTGGGTCCGTGCTTGGGGGCGCAGGTGGGAGCTGGGCCTTAACCCAGGCGTGCCCAGAGTGGGTGCCTCTGTCACTCACCTCCCCGAAGGGCTGCCTTTTTCTAATTCGGCATAAAGACGCTTCCTTTGCTGGCGGGAGCCCTGCTGGTGTCCACAGGTACTCACAATAAGAGAAATGCAAATTAAAACTCCACTGAGCCTAAACCAGTTTGGCTCAGTGGATACAGCGTCAGTCTGTGGACTGAAGGGTCCCAGGTTCGATTCCTGTCAAGGGCATGTACATTGGTTGCCGGCACATCCCCAGTAGGGGGTGTGCAAGAGGCAGCTGGTCTCTCTTATCGACGTTTCTAGCTCTCTATCCCTCTCCCTTCCTCTCTGTGGAAAATCAATAAAATATATTTAAAAATAAATAAATAAAAATTTAAAAAAATAAAACTCCACTGAAATATCATTTGTATGTACTGGAATAGATAAAAATCCAAAAGCCAGACAGCCTGCCCTGTTGGCAAGGCTGTGGGGGGAGGGGTACGGGTGCTGTGGAGGGCAAAATGCCCACAGAGGGCCAATCGGCGTGTCCATCAACATCATGAATGTGTTTGTCCTTTGGCTCAGCGACCCCTCTTCTAGAAATGTGCTCTGTGAGGGCACACGGGCACACCCAGAGCAATTCCTGGGAATTTGTTTTATTGCCACATTATTTGAATTGGATTAGAAATAACCCAAGTATCTGTGTAGAGCGGACTCATGAAATAAGCAATGACACCTCCAAGTGGAATACGTCTGTTTAAGGAGGGAGGCCTCCTCTGTGGCAGACAGGAAATCTCCATGAGGGCAGCGAGGGAAAGGGACAAGGTGAAGGGCAGCGGGCGGCAGCTGCATTTATGTAGGAAAGGGTGAAAGTGTGAACATGTATTTGCTGCTATTGCCATAAACCTTAAAGGACACACAAGAAGTTCATTAAAACGGTTGCCTAGGGAGGGAAAGCAGGGCGAGCATGGGAACCGGGCGGGCACAGATGCGTGAGAGGGAGATTCCTCGATGTGTGATTTTTAGCCCCGTGATGGTATTTCCTATTCAAAAGAAAGTGAGCATCAGTAAACGCATTCCTCTGCCTAAGACAGCCGCCAAATGTTAGACCATATAGTCTCACCCGGGAATGAGCAAACTATGGCCTGTTGGCCAATTCTCTGTGTTGCCTGGTTTTGCACAGCTTATACACTAAGAATGGTATTTGCATTCTTACATTGGGGGTGGAGGGGGGTCAAAAGAAGGAGGACATTCTGACAATTCTGTTTCAGGTGATGTATGTTGTCAGCTACATTTCCTTTTCTTTGGTGAGTGTGGTTGTGTGCACGCAGGTAAATAATTTGCATGGAGGGGAAGGGGTAAGCCCTAGACTGGAACATTGCCATTTGGTATCTTCCCTCTCCACCCACCCTGCCCTCCCGGCAGATGCTTTGGTCAGGATTTCCTCATGAAACACCCAGGAAGCAGTCACACCGGCAGGAAGCAGCATCCTGAGGTTGAAATCAGCCACCCCTGGGATTTTGGGGTGCGGTGGAGGAGGAAGTAATGAAAGAATGGATGAGCAGCCAGTACTACCATAATATTGTCTTTACCAATTCCTCACCTGGCAAGGTATCTGGACTTGAGCATCTCAGCTGATTTCCTGGGCAAAGAGGCAGGGCTCCAGGGCACAGCCCGCAGCCACCCACGAAGTTAAGCTTCATTCTTCCCCACAGGACCCTGCATAGGTTCCTTTGTTAGTGCTTCCCATCCAAGCTTCTCTCACGGACCTGTGATGTGGCCAGGCTGGTGTTCTGCCAAAGGGAGCCAGTTTGCAATCGCAACAAAAGAAAAGGAAATTATACAGGGGTAGGCAAAAATAGGTCTTATACAGTTGTGAGTATGGGAAACAGAGTTTATTCTTGTATTATTACTTATTGTTATTATTGTATTATTTTCCATGGGAACAACTGTAAGCCTACTTTTGCCCACCCCTGTAGAGTGTCATTATCTTGTGAATAATTTAAAAGCACACACACATACATATCTAAATGAACAGGTGAAAAATAAACTGATAGTGGAGATGGAAGATAAAGGGGAAAAAGAGGATAAAATACAATACAACACAACAGAGGCTTGCACAAACAAATGGTGACAGTGTTTTATGAGGAGAAAGTGTGGTGCAATTGGTTAAGTAATGAGTCAATTATAAATGCATTTATCCTTTGACTCAGCAACTCCACTTCAGAAAATCTACACTAATATAAGAGAAACATTCAAATTGACCATACCTCCATGACGACCATTGGCCAATCAGGAGTGGGTATGCAAATTAACCCAACAAAGATGGTGCGTTAATTTGCATACACAGGCACTGAGCAGCCAGGCGGGGTGGGACACCTACTATGAGGGGGAGGGAAGAGTGAAGAGGGAGCTACAGGAGCAATGCTCCAGTTGGGAGCAAGGACTTACAGGCTCCCAGGCGGCCAGGAGGGAAGCCATGGAAAGGAAGGCCTATTCTTGCACAAATCTTTGTGCAACAGACCTCTAGTCTACATATATAAAAACTTAAGTGTCTGGCCAGCTATCCAACCAATAGCTATGATGTGCACTGACCACCAGAGGGCAGATGCTCATTGTAGGAGCTGCCATGATGCACACTGGCCATATAAAAAGAAATGGCACTACAGACCTGGTGCTGACAAACCAACACTCAGCTTCCTCCAAGTGGGACACAGGCCCTATCACCACCCCAGAATGACACCCCACCAAATCACAGCCAATGTTGCCGAAACCCCATGGTGCAAAATGTAGCCCACAGCCCAGCCCACCCTGGAAAGGGTCACGGTGGGCACTGGGTAATGACATCACATAGCAGTGCCTGACTTCCTTTTCCAAGTGACTAGCCTCCTTGCAGTTTCTTCAGCCCAGGCTCACAATTTGCTTTATAGGCAGGTGCAAACATTTTACACTTTGACCAAAGTAAAGCCAAGTTCTCTTTAATCTCATATGCTTGGATGCTGGCTCTTCTGTGATCTTATCGGAATGGATGATGGAAGCTTTTTACACACCCAGCTTAAGAATGCCACCAGTCAGACAATTGTAAAATGGCATCAATTTTAAGATACGTCCAGATAACATCTAATATGGATGCATTAAGGTGGCAGGTAAAAGCTGTGCATTGCAGGATAAATAAATTAGGGTAATTTTCAGACTTTACAGTTAGCCTGCTATATCTAAGCAATTGTAGATCAAAAAATATTTGGAAAAAGAAAGTTATGTTGCTGCGACATATACTATGTTCATGTATAAAAAAATCTATTGATGGAAAGGACAAGACTAGGGATTTTCAAGTATGGTCTGATCCAGAGGCACAAGCTGCTGCCTCTTCCTCTTATCCTCCTCCTCCCCCTTCTTCTCCTCCTTCTCCTGCTCCTGCTCCTGCTCCTCCTTCTCCTCCTGCTTCTTCTCCTCTTCCTCTTCTCCTTATGCTCCTCAATCCCATCCTCCTCCTCCTCCTCCACCTCTTCCCCTCCTCCTCCTCCTCCTCCTCCTCCTTACCTAGGACTTTTGTTCTAATTTTTTCTTTTTGATTTCCGTGCTTATCTACTTGAGAGGAGATTTCACACCTGGGTAAGAGTAAGCAGATTGCATTTCCTCCACTCTCCTGCCAGCTAACCGCACCTTCTTTTGGCTTTTTCTTTTTTTGTTGTGCTCTATGGCTTCCTTCTTTCTGTCCAGCAAGGCAAGCTCCATTCAGCCTCAGTGCCTTACCTCAGCAGCTCCCTCTGCTGGCGTTGACTTTCCCTTGCCACCTAGGGCTGACTTCATATCACCTCAAGCGCCTTCTTCTATGCAGCAGCTACCCTGGCCACTCCACCTCAACCACATACCCTGCCTTCCCTTCCCCTCTCCTGCTTTCCTGTTCCATTTTCCTTAGATTACTTAGGGCTATCTTTTCCCTCTTGTAATTTGTTTGTTGGCTGCATCTGTTTCCTCCCAGTGACTTATAAGTGCCAAGAGGCAGGACCTTGCCTGTCTGGCTTTTGCTGGGTCCTCAAGGCTGGATTCTGTGGCTGGAACATTAAAATTGCTCAATGAATGTCCTGTGGAATGAATTAATGAATGGAAAATGGGAAAAACAGAACCACCTACCTCATGGGACCACTAATAAAACTGAATGAGAAAATGCATTTGAGATGCTTGGCCTGGCACTTGCCACTAAGTGAGTGCCAGTGAGTGGGAGGCGTTGAGACACTGCTTCTGCTCTTGTTGCTGCTGTCCTGGCCTCTGAGTGCCTTTCTATGTCCCGCTGTCACTCGGGTGGAAATGACTCCCAGGCCAGGACCCAGCTGAAAAGTGGGGAAGTCCCTGGGCCCGCCCGCTGCCCCTTTCATTGCCTCTGTGCTGCGGAAAGTGGGCCGTGTGATTTATTTCCCTCGGGGAACGGTGCTCATGGGTAGCTTTGTTCTTGAAAAGTCTCCTGGGTGAGGTTTGACCTAAACGTGAGGAGCTCAGATGGTCTGGATTTGGTTTTCCAGGTCTTCAGAGACTAGCAAAAGCCTCATCACTTCACTGGCCAAATGAAAGCACCAGAAATCAGAGAGGGAAGGTGATAGGCAAAAAGGCTGGGTTTTTCTCTCTTAAAAATTCAGATTTTCTGAAAGAGCTTTTTCTTTGAGAAAAATCCTTTTCTCCAAGAGTCCATTCCCGGAGTTTCTTGAGCTAAGACAAGTGCAGTACCATCCTTAGACCTGAGTCTCCAGGGCCCTGCCCTGGGTGGGGCCCCGAAGACCGAGGGATGTGCCTGTGGAGCTGCTGGTTCCCTTCTAGACCATGATCTGCAGTTTCCTCGTCCAAACAGCTGAGTCACCTCCAGGGCCCGTGTAAGTCGTTTGCCCGCGTACTCCCTCTTGCAACATGAGCAAGAAACAAGCCAAGGTGCTGGCTGTGAATGGAGGAGATCGGAAATGGGTGTGAGAGGAAGGAGATGATGAATTCAGTTAAGAATTTGGAAGTCGCTGAAATTGCAGGGACTTCTTGATTACTGTCTTTTCAGAAGTCTGGAATGGCTCTTGAAGAGGGCTCTGTGACCCGTTGGCCTTGAACTTCTCTTTCAGTGTAGCAAAGAGGGCATCTTATTATCTATCACAAGGTAACAGGGCCGCGTGTTGTTGGGTGGAAGCTGGGCATAACGGGAGGACATGGTGGGTGCGAGTGGCTCAAGGGGTGGGCCAGTTCGGTGCCATTAAGTGCCTCCCAGATTCTTGCAGCCTCACCTGTGTTCTTGACCCTCAGCATTTGCTGCATTTGCTGCATTGGAGCCAGACCCCAAGCTAATAGTGAACCAGGTGTGGTTTCCATCTTTGAGTTGCTCCCAGCCCACCATTCACTCATTTTGTTAATTAATTCACATCCCATTACATCAGCTATTGAACACTTTCCGTCTAGGGTGGTCATCCTTCCGCCACTCAGTGTGAACTTGACCTTACTTGTTCTCCTTGCTATCAGGCAGAATGCCAGTTTAACTCCATTCTGAAACTGAGGACAAAATAGAAAAGATGTTTGGAATATGTATGATCTCTGTTACTATAGCCCAGAGGCAACAATCATGGAGAAATGGGTACTTCATTCTGTCAGATGGTGTACACTAGGACCCAGAGGCTCAGCTGGCTGCCACAGCAGGTAGCATTCACCCTGACTGGCATCCCAGTCAAGCTACCTAAGGTCATGCGTGAGAGAAATAATCAGACTTTGGGTTAAGACAGCTCTGGGTTTGGATTCTCACTCTGTCAATTACATACTGCTCATGCATTAGTGGGAGTGTATGTGTATGTGTGCACACATACACACATTTATAGAGTAAACTAGTGTCCCAGTGTCAAACAAATTTAGGATCGACAATGACAGATCAAAACACACATGTGCGGTTGGCACTAGGGAGAAATATATATGTATTACCCATGCTTGAGTCAACTTAGCCTTGTATATATAGAGAATAAACTTGCTTAATTAGACCAGCTTTCTGATGTAGTTAAACTTTTTCCAGCCCAATGAAGCACATCAACTTCTCTTTCAAGTAATTATTAGCTACACAGTAGTAAATATCAACATGAAGCAGATTATTATTGTAGATCACTCAGGGAGAACAAAGGATAAAATATTTAACTGCAGCAGTGTTTGACTATATTCTGCACAGTGAGAAAATCTGAAGTCATTTTCAAGTTCTACCATTCCTTCTTTTTAGTTGGATCAAGTTCCTAAACTTTCTAAATCTCCATTTTCAGGAGGATCCAAGATGGCTGCACAGGTAAACACCTAACCACAGCTGCACACAACAATTTCAATAAAATACAACTAAAATATAAAATGGACATTGCCCAGAGCTACAGGAAGTTGACTGACTGAAAATTCTACAACAAGAGGGAAAGATAAAACCAGAAAGAAAATCAGAGGAGCTGTAAAAGCCTAAAGTATGGAGACATGCTGTGCGTGCACAGAGAGGAGGGGGAGGCTGAATTCCTTGCTGGCGTTCCCTAGCAGGAAGGAAATAAAAGCCCCCGACTGGGATGAACCCCAGAACCAACAGCGCTGAACCCCAGTTCTAGGTCAGACCCTGGGGACCCAGGCTCAAACACAGGGAGATGGGGCTATGAGGCAGACTCCCAGGGGAGTGGCGAAAGGCAGAGCCCCCGGAGTCATGCACATTGCATGCAGGGGACAGTCTGTTGACTCTGATGCTAGACTGCCCTAGCGGGAAGGAGACAAAAGCTACAGTCTGGGAAAAACGCGATGAGGAGCGGGAGCTGCTGCTGGGCACCAGCAAGCTGGGCGCCAGCAAGGAGCCAGGCGACAGGGCCCCTGGGGGGGAGGTGCCACTGGGCCCTCGACCGCTGATCGCGGGCCATGGAGCCGAGGCCAGGGGCTGCTTCCTGGGCGGTGCTGACCCCGGCAGCAGGCTGAAGCTGCGCAGAAGGCCGTGGAGAACAAAGGGGTGCCGCAGGCCAGCCTGCTGAGCTTCCAGGACTAGGAGGAAGAAACCGAAGAAGTTTTGAATGTGAAGAAATCAAGTTATAGCAAAAGATAATAAAATTACTTAAGAAAGAATAAAAAGAAGATCTTGAAAAATCGAATATTAAGACAGAACTCAACTCAGCAGCCAGCATTGCAACATAAATGCGTTTAAAAAAAAAAAAGACAGAATGTTGGAGCAGTGGCGGCAAGGCCCAGAGTGGCCAGGCCCAGGGCAGTGGCAGCCAGGCCCCGGAGCAGCAGCAGCCAGACCCAGAGCAGCCAGGCCTGGGGCAGTGGCATCCAGGCCTGGGGCACAGGTGGCCAAGCCCAGGGCGGCCAGGCCCAGAGCAGCCAGGCCTGGTGCAGCAGCAGTCTAGCCCAGAGCGGCCAGGCATGGAGCAGCCGGGCCCAGAGCAGCAGCATCCAGGCCCGGAGTGGCACCGGCCAGACCCAGAGCAGCTGATTGTGTAACGGACCAGAGCAACAGAGGCCAGGCCCTGTGCTGCCAGGCCCGGAACAGCTCGCTCCTCGCCTGCCCATGCCCCAGGGCTGCCTCTCAGACATGGCTGGAAACTTTGGGGGAAACTTGAGGGTCTGCTGAATCAAGTGATGAAGGCTTAGATCTGGTTGTATTGAGTTATTATAGCGCTGGGGTGTTGATCTATGAGTGCCTTGTGTGGGTTCTGGATGAGGCTGGTTGATCTATTTTGAAGTGTCTTTTGTGTGAAGTGTATCCTTGGGCATGTGGAGGTATTATTGATTTGAGAAAATACTAAGTAATTGATTCACTACCTGAAAAATTTAAAGTTCTGAAAGTTTAAGGTCTCTTGCCAAAAAGAGGTTTTAAAGCTAACACCTTAATTTCAATGGAGAAAGGGGAAGACAAGCCCTTCCCACCCAGAACAGGTAATCCAATTGCAGCCAGCAGCTATCTTTAAACAATGTGTCCATTTACATTTGAATGGCTATGCCTTTTGATAGCCTAAGGGCAAGTTTACATGTAAACAAGCTTGCTTCTCAGTTCCCAGGGCAGAAAAAGCAAGGTTTAAAATTATTAGATTTTAAAATTTATTCTTTTCTTTTTCTTTTTTAATATATTTTATTGATTTTTTACAGAGAGAGGAAGAAAGAGAGATAGAAAGTTAGATACATCGATGAGAGAGAATCATCGATCAGCTGCCTCTTGCACACCCCCTACTGAGGATGTGCCAGCAACCAAGGTACATGCCCTTGACCAGAATCGAACCTTGGACCTTTCAGTCTGCAGGCCGACACTATCCACTGAGCCAAACCGGTTTCGGCTTAAAATTTATTCTTAAAAATATAAAAGTTTATTAATTAAAAAAAAACAAGGAAATTAAAAACCTGATGAACAATATTAACTGTTGATTATAATAGAATCAGATACGGGAGGGGAGTGGACTGACAATTCTCTGGGGGCTGGGAGGGGGGGGTGGTGGATGCAGGAAGAGACTGAACATAAACTGTGCACCTATGGATGAGGACAATGGGGGGTGGGGAAAGGGCAGAGGGTGGGGTGGGAACCCAATGGAGGGAGGAAGAAATGAGGAACCTTTGTAATAATATGAACAGTAAAGATTGATTTAAAAATAAATAAGTAAATAAATAAATAAATAAATAAATAAATCTCCATTATCCAGCTAAGGAAAAGAAAATAGGATTCTACTGAGTCTCCTATCTGCCTACTCCAGGACTTCTGTGAGGATCAAATGAGATAAGGCACGGGAAAACGCTTTACAGATATTTGGTCAAAGTGTAAAATGTTTGCACCTGCCTATAAAGCAAATCATGAGACTGGGCTGAAGAAACTGCAAGGAGGCTAGTCACTAGGGAAAGGAAGCCAGGCATTGCTATGTGATGTCATTACCCAGTGCCCACA